AGAGGGCAGGGAGGGCTGGGTGTACTTGGGGGGCTGGCTGGACACGGAGAGGCCGCTGGGCGGGGGGAAGGAGTGCCCGTAGGAGGCACTGTAACTGGGCAGGGGCTGGGCCGAGGAGGGTTGGGGGTACTGGGCGGAGGAACTGGAGGGTGGCAGTGGTGGCGGGGCGTAGGGGTAGCGGGAGGGGGCCAGGGCCGGTGCCTTGTCCTGACCCATCCCATGGGGTGAGGGAAGGTGGCCACTCAGGGCCTGCCCCACCATCCCTGGGGAACTGGAGGCAGCCACCGTGTTGTTGAGTGGGCGCAGGGCTGGAGGGGGAGGCAGATTGGCGGAGACATGGGGAAAGGAAGGGGCCGAAGCCGGGGGGGCAGCTGGAGGGTTGGATGGGGGTGTCTTTTGAGGGGGGAGCCCCCCAACCACTGACGCCAACGAGATGGGTGTGGTGGGTGGCGGATTGTGCTTGGTGCTGAGGCTCTGGTCGCGACCCCCTGGTGCTGGCAGCCCCCCCACTCCACTGGCTATTTTGGCCCCAATCTGGACCACGTTGGCCGTAGGGTAAAGAGGAGTGTGGGCAGAGGAGGAGGAGGAAGAGGAGGAGGAGGATGAGGAAGGGGGAGCAGAAGGGGCAACAACAGGAGAGGAAGAGGAGGCAGGTGTCTGCGGGGCTTGAGCCTGGAAAATGTGGGAGGCCTGGCCCTCCAGCTGGGAGTGGTAGCTCCCTGTGGGGGGTCCCTGGGGGTGCACCTCGCTCGGGAGCCCAAAGCTGGGCTCGGGTGGACGAGCCAAGCTGTCAGGAGAGGGAGCTACCGGTGGGCTCTGGGGGAAGAGTGGAGGGTGGTGGTAGGAGTGAGATGGCCCCTGGGACAGCACAGAGGAGGAGTCGGAGTCATTCTCCACACTGCCAGGGCTGTAGACACTGGGTGAGGTACTCCTGTTATCCTGGTCAATGTCCCGTGGGTCACTGCTCATCTCATCGTTGAAGCTGTGGCCATCAAGGCTGTCAACATCAGATGGGGATGGAGGGCACGGCAACTCCTGAAGTAGGAAGGAGAGACACATTATGTGGCTTCCCAGACCATGCACAACACTTTTCAAGTTCCCAGAGAACTTGCTTTCTGACCTTTCTCTGCCAGCTCTAGAAAACCCCACAGAGGGAAGGAGATACCATCTGGCAAGGTATAAGTAACACCAGTCCTCCTGCCTTCCCTTGGAGCAACTTCAGTGCTCTCAGGTTCTTCATGAGCACCACATGCTGAAGGAGGAGGTAATAATGGGCACCTTGTGTACAGATGCAGCAAGGGAGGGCAGGGAACTGTTACACACAAGGTTGAGAGTGAATAGATACAAAAGGTCCTAGCACCACCACCCCCAGCAATGGGCCATTGGCCAGGGTATGATACCACCAGGTGGCATGGAGCAGCATGCACCACAGTGTGCCCAGCACAGCCCCCAGACCCAGAATCACTCTTCTTGTCCCTGCAGAGCTCTCCCTCAGTGAGGAGACCTGCTTCCCTCCAGGTCCCTCTCACTGCCCCACTCCTTACCTCCCGGAGTCCGACCCTGTGCTCCCCAATCCCTGCTCCTCCCCACCACCTCTTGCCTCAGGCAATGAAGTGATTAAGCAGTTAGCATGGACAATTAACAAGTGCCACTCTTGAGCCTCAGGGCTTACAAGAGAGGCTAAACTGAAAAACAGATCACTGTTGAGCTGGATGGAGTGTTTCTATAGGTGTAACTGCAGTGGTTTAATTACAATGACCTCATAACGCCAGCAAATATCCCCGCGCTTGCAAGCCTTTAAGGCCAGTTCCCTGGACAGGCTAACAAGGGAAGCAAGAAGCACAAGAGCCAAGTCCCCCTCCAACCACCCAACCATCAATCCAGCCCAGTGCTGTTGGCATTTCAGCAAAGCCCTGCCACAACTACGCAGAGTGTGTGCATGAGCAGGTTTTGCACGACCTGGAACCCACGATGACTTAAGCACCTCCGTTTCACACTGCTCTGGGGGAGCAAAAGAGGTTGAGTCTAACCCAACCAGCAGCTGCACACAGGGCCAGGCTCCTGCCACTGAGGCAGGAAAGGCAGGGCACATGCCCAGCCCCGAGAACATGGCAGCCCCCTGTAGACAAGGTAAAAGAGATGGAGAGCCTCCACCTGCTCAGTGGTTGCTCCTGCTGGCATTTTTGTAGCCAGGCAGATGCCATTTAGGTTGGAAGAGCTGCAGCCTGAAACCCGAGGTGCCAGGGCTCCCAAGCAGCAGGAACTCGTGGAACCTGTGAGCAGCACAGGTAGGGAACAGGAAGCTCCTTTGCCCTGGATCTGGGTCATGCCAGCAACCACAGCAGGGAGAACTCACCTCGGTTTTGGTTTTTTTGGGAGCATTGGCGTCCTCCCCTTCACTTTCTGAGATCTCTTCTGTTCGGCCCTGCTTGCTGCCCTTGGGGGTGCAGGATTCCTCCACCCGGCCTTTCTGCAACAGAGAGGAGAACAGGGAGGTGGGAGGATCACAGGGAAATTTCCCACCCTGCCAGGCCTTCACAGACAGCAGCAGGCAAGACACAGACACCATGGCGCATGTGTTGAACACCTTAGCAGAGCAACACTGAGCCAGGACATGGCAAAAATTAGTACTGAAAAGGGCTGGCAAGACTGAAGACCAGTTCTTGGGATACGGCAGGAAGTGCAAGATGCTGAGGATGAGAGGAAAGAGGGATCCCACTTATGCCAGAGAGCTAACCCAGCATGGGTTCCTTGGTGGATTCCTTCTGGACTGCATCTCTGAATCCCCGAACAGATCCTACCTAGTCTGGGCAGTCCTCGGACACCCCACACTTGTGTACTAGCTTATATTACCTTTGTTGCTTGTCGGGATTTCTCAGCTTTGCCATCACTGCTGGAGGTGCTGATGCCCCCCGGGGAAGCTCGACCCCGTGACCTGAGCTCCTCTCGGGGCCCTGGAGTCTCTTTCTTCCGTCCACTCCTCATTGACATCTAAGAGAGGAATCACTGGATCAGTCCTGCTTAGCACCTCTCTCCACTCCTGCCCTGTCCCCAGCCTCCCAAAGCCCCTGAACCCCTGGCACTCCACTACGCCAAACTCATACCCACAAGCTTTGCTGTGAGTCTCGGTCCCAACCTACAGCTCCAGCCTGGCTGTGGTGTCCCACCCCCCTCTCCCTTCTCACGTACTGAGTCCTTGTTCTGTCGTGTCTTCATTCTTTTGAGTGTGGGACCCCCATTCTCCTTGGCCCGGTTTGATGAAAACATAAATTTTTATCACTCCGCACCCCGCTTCAGCTGTTCCCGGGTAGACGGCGATGGGCAAGAGCAGTTCTTCTGGAAGGGGAGCTTAAACAGCAATGCAACAAGATCCTGGTGAATCCTGAAAGAAAGTCAAGGAGATGAGAGGGAAGAAAGAGTGAGTGGACTGCGGGACATCCTTTTGTGGTTTGCTATAGAAATATGACAAAATTATTACTGTTTCCTTAATTACTATTTACAGACGCAAGGATCTTTACCAAGAATGCAATAAACTTTCCCATCAGAAGATTAAAATATTTGGCCACTGTCACCTCCGATTTCCAATTTCTAGGAGAGTGATACCCACACGATGCGAGGCAGTCAGGACCCAGCAATAATTTTTTTGTTTCCATTTCTTTGTTTATTTGATCTTCAGAGAGAGAGGGAAAAAAATAACGGCAAACTGCTTTAAAATGTTCCTAATGACAATTTTCCCAACTTCTTAAGTTCCTCTTTGCACTTATTGTCAGTGCAGTAAGTTACACTGTCCTTAACTGGCCATGTGCTGTCATTAGCTAGCTTGGCATAATGAGCCCCCAGTGGCCTTTGCTGAAGGGGTATTACACAGCCCTGCCCTCTCCAGAGCATATGCACATGCATATATGCATCAGTATGTTACTCAGAAAATGCGACAAGTCTTGCTTAGTCAGTTTGATGCCCAAGGTACACAAACAGGAGTCAGAAAATGCATCCAGCTTTGATTTTTCATGATGCGAACAGAATCAACTCTGTTTAGCTTGGAGTGCCTGCCTATGTCTCCTCCTTCTCCATACGCTGGACTGCTTCTAAGGGTACCGGATAGAGTCATGCCCAGAGATGCAGAGTACATCCTTACACTTTGCAGCAGTGGGAAGATTTCTGAGATCCCTCTGAATAAGTTTACAGCTTTGTGCCACGGCCAAAAGCACCACAGATATTTAACACCCTGTTATGCTGCACAGTTCCTACTTTAGAGTATGAAAAGCACCATGATTGTGTTAGCGTGGAAACTAGACTGAAGTGATCCAAGGATGCTGCTCCTGAAGCTAATTTGCCTGGTTCCATCCAGCTTACGAGCTTTTGCACTGCACTGCACAGATGTAACCAAAAAGAGACTGTGCCTCCCCAGCCTGTCATTCGAGCTCCTATACTTGGCCTCTGGAACAGACAATCTGCAAGACAAGGAAACGTGTCCCGTGGATGAGGCATCAGGAGAAAAGGGCCACGTCTCCTGGGTCATATTCCCTGATCTGGAAGCACGGAGAAGTTTTGTGAGGGGAGATTTGGGACTCCTAAAGGCCATCCCAGATCTGGAAAGACCAGCTTCCAGCCAGCCAGTGCAGGAGCAGTCTGGATGCACTTTCATTTCACTGAGAAGGGAGCTCAAAGCAGGGATCAGAGCAAAGGGACCAGATAGGAGAACTCTTGGACCTCCTGTACAGCCCTGCTGTTAGACTGTGTGGCCCCGGGGTCGTTGCTTTCTACTGCCTCCATACCGCTACCTGTGAAAACGGAGTAGTGACACTGGCCTCTCTCTTCTGGGGCTCCACATCTTCCCTGACCAGTGCTTAGAGAAACCCATCCAGAAGCTACTTGGGAAGAGCAGGGACTTGTTTGTTTTAATTTCATTAATATTTTATTTGACCCTCATCATGAAAGCCACAGGGGACTCATCCAGCATTAATTCCCACACACAGCAATTCATTAACTGAGACCTCTTCTTTAATAGAAAAATAGCTCACGATGGTTTATAACTGACCTAATGGAGGCAGAGCACTCTCCTAATCCCTACCAGCTGACGTGTTTTACAGCCTTACATTTCTGTCATACTCTGGCCTTTGGTTGCTAATTCAGCCAGTTACACTGATGTTATTCTAGATAAGCATCTAGAATTAACATTTCTTACATGAAACAAACATTGTAAGTAAGGCAATCCTAATTTAACTCAACTTCAACACACACCATTCTGGCAACCTTCAAGTATTAGCGCAGCTCTGAACACACAGAAGCAGCAACAACACATTACCAATATGTCACTGCTCTTTAAATTCAACAGGGATGCCACCCACACCTCCCACACCAAAGAACTGAACATCCTAACGCAGCGCACAGGTCTCACTTCAGCTTTCCACTAACACCGTAATGACAATTACCGTCTTCTTTCCGGAGAAGTAAGTCAGAGAAACAATATGCAGGTAACCACATACTGAAACTTCCCTTCTTAAGAGGTACCAACTCAGTACTTAGGTCAGTCACTGAATATGTAGTACCAAACAAAGCCAGAAACAAACAGGTATGTTTCAGTAGATGTAATTAACCACTGGGCCATAAGTTTCTATTGCTTAGAGAGTGAAGACTTTTCTAAAATATGTAATGGAATTGACGCACACATTATTAGGCTCAGCATAGCAACTGTTATGTCAGAGGTCAGATGAGAGGATCACAATACCACCTTCTAATTTTAACATCTATGAAATAAAAGCTTGCAATGTGAGCCTTGACAATTAATACAGTTACATCTAACACTTCCTGTCAGTGAAGACCCCTGTAAATGTCTCTGAAGAGTTCTTAGGGCTCTGTGGTTTTGGAGACGAAACGAGACATTTGTTAGGGCTGTTGTCAAAGGGATAACCTTTGGCTGGCCCTGTGAAGCCCTTTACAGGTTTGATTTGAGTTATCAGGCACTGCAAATTGCTATTTTCTGTTTGTGTTTCATACAACCCAGCTTGGTTTGGCTTACTGCCCAAACCCCTTCATATTCTCGTGTAAGCCCTGGTGCAGTCTCCTGCAAGCAATGCACACTCAACAGGCATCCCCACATGGGATCTAAAATGGATCCTGCTCCTCCTCCTCCCCAGCTCCAAGCAACTCTCCTTGCCAAAGGCAGACTGTCCTGCACAGGCAGCCGGGAGATCATGGACTCCAGCGCCTCTTCTATTGAAGAATGCAGATAAGCACTCTCCTTCCCAGGCTGTAACACGGAGCAACTCTTCACAGGTAACAAAACTGGAATCAAGCCCATCTCAAATGAGATACACTCAGGTTTTACCTACCTAAGTATACATCCTTGGTCTCTGCTAGAAAGTTGGGTGCATGTTTGTCCTTGGCTCTCAGGATAGCATTTACATCTTAGATTGAGGGTCTGAGAATTTAAACGTTCCTAGATGGCAACAGAAGCAGAGGTAATGGGAACAGGACCAAGTTGTCTGGGACGGTGTTTGGGGGCTTGGCTGGGACTGTAAATATCAAATGAGTCATGTGTCCCAAAGGCTTGTGCATGCTGGGACTGCACACACAGGTACACCCAGCATGTGTCCCAACAGCAGGAAAGTAATTTCCAGTGAGACAGGGAAGTCTGGGAGGTGCCTCCAAATCCACAGAGGGCTGAAGGGTTTTGTCACTTTGGCTGGTGCTCAATGGCAGAGCAAGCTCCAGGATGGGCAGCCTGAGTCTGGGGCTCCAGTCTGCCTGAGAAGGTTAAAAGCCAACTAAAGTCCAGCTAGCCTTCCTTGGGGCCAGTGACAGGAGAAGGGAGAGCTGAAGGCTCACAGTATCCATGTCACTAAGAAAAAAAGCTAATGCTACCATTACTTCAGTAGTGTTTCTTTAGCAAAGCAGACATTTAAGGCCTGATCCAGTCCTCACTGAGATTAGCTGCTGGTACTCATTGTCAATAGTTACCATGGTCTCTTCCCCTTCTTTTGTATTACTCCTCTCTTGGGGAAAACAAACAAACAAACCATCTGCTTGGTTTTATTACCTGGTACTGATCTTCTCCAACCGTAATGTCCCAGTAACCTCAGGTGGATTCAGACCTGGTCCAAGCAGGAGGAGAGGGGAGGTGCAGCAGACAGAACATGACTATGGTACATGACACAGGAGCCCACCCTGAGCTAGCCAGTGATGATTTGGGGGTGGAGGGGAATAGTACTGATGCAGCCTTCTCTCTCCACGGAGGCTGTGCCTAGGCACTGCCTGGTAGACCATATACCAGTTGGAGGCACTGAGTGCAAAGATGTCAAGGTGCATGGCTGGATCATTCGGTCTCAAAAAAGAAATTAATTAAAAACTCTGACATCCATCAGGACCACAAATGCTGCAAGAAGGGGCAATCTGACAGCATCTGTACTTTTAAACAAAATGGGACAGCACCTGTTTTCTGGTCCTGGGGGTGATTGGCATTACACAGCTTGCACCCAGATGGCAAAGTTCTCCTACCCTCCAAAAAAGGGACAGACCCATCTAACCTGGCCACTGGCAATCGGTATGTTCCTATGCTAACTCGTAAACATGCTCAGGCATCATCTGGGAGAGTGCTCATTGGCACAGACCAAAGACTATACAAAGGAACACCATTCTAATGGACAGACAGAACTGTCAGTGCATCAGTGCCGGGGCCCGTTTAGTTTGTTACTACAGATGTAGCCATCATTATCTTCCACTACATGCTAGTCCATGGAAAGTAAGTTTGGAGTGGGGAGTCAGTGAAGTTCCTCCTTTCCTCTAAGTACAAATGTTCTGAAATTCAAACCTCTTGTTTTTTCAGTTGGGAACTGCTGAAAGTACACAGTGGCTATTCCTTAGGTTATTTTTTTCAGATTTAGGAACTACATCCAAAATCCTACATGAAATCAAAGGCATTTGGTATGCAAATGTAGGGACTCGGAAGTCAGAAGGTGTGAGAATTTAAGTGAGTCTGCTTTTCTGCAATTCATTAGCTCTGTGTTCCCATCCTGGCTTTTCTCTTTCCCCTTCTGCAAAGGGACGGTTTAGCACTGGAGGGAGGAGCCAGAGTGGCAAAACAAACACAGCTGCTTTCTAACACACTGGATGCTGGGAAGTGTCCTGAAAGTAAGATGGGCCAATAACTGATGGATCCCTCTTAACAGGTGAAGATTGCTCAGAAGGGAGTGCTCACTGGAGCAGTATAGCCAGGGGATATGCACTGTGGGTGGGAAGTCAGAAGTTGACATATATATATATATACTGCCCAGTGATTGATGGTCCCAGGCATTTTTAATTCCTGTCTCCATTTCCCTCATTTTATAAAATGAAGGGAAAATTCCCAGAAATGTAATCGGGTTTAACAACTGTGCAGCATCT